ATTTTGGATGCCCAGCATTAGACATTTAGGGTCTGAAGTTTTCAGAGGGAAACTGAAAATCTGAAGCACTTATTGTTTATAACTGGAGCTATGAGAACTCAAGACTTCTGAAGCCTAGTCTTGAGACATTTAAACGTGGTCTGTGAAAACCTGAAATCTCAAAAATTTTAAACTACTTTAGGAAATGCTTGTCTCAAGTTCTATTTGCAGGATCTGTGAAAATAGGGACATGGATTTATGTCACCTCAAAAGGAAGTTTAGCGTTAAGGCTAGGGACAGGAGTTACACATAAACCAGTTTAAGTGATCAGAAACTGGTTTAAACTTGTAATAGAACAAAAGTTCAGTGAACATAAACCAGTTTCAAAATGGCTGAAACTGGTTTAAGATAAACCTGATGGAAGGTAGTATCAGACTTAAGTGATTTGGGTCAAACTGGTTTATGCAACTTCTGTCCCAGACCCCTTCCTGGTTTAAGTTAAATCACAGTCCCCCAGCATCCCAGCATGCATTTTAGTCTTGGGCTGTACTGTGCTGTCTACTTGAGAGAGCAGGGCTGGCCCTGCCCCTCTGCTCATCAGCCAGCCCTCACTACCCAGGCTAGAAAGGGATGGGGGTGGGAAGCCTGGCTGGGGACAGCAGCTGGTCTCCCCCCCAGACAAACCCTGGGAGGGTCTGAGAGGGGCTTTAAGCCCCCGCTTCCCCAGCTCAGTGTGCTGCCCACAACCCCTGCTCTCTGTTTGAGCAGGGTAATTGGCTCAGGCAGGCAACAGCCTGAGAGGGACTGCTCCCCCACAGGCAAACCCATCTAGGGTCTGGGAGGGGCCTTAATCTCCCCTTCCCCAGCTCAATGTACTGGTGCCATTGAGCCCTACAGGACCAGAATGAGAGGTGGAAGCTGGTGGCAAAGACCCGGCACAATCATGACATGTATGTACTGGAGATGGAGCTAAGGGAACAGGAAGAGGTTCCAGACAGCTTGAGGGTTGCATACAACTTGGTCAAAGAATGCAGAGAGCCAGTGGTGACACGTAGGGGGTGCATGGGGGTGCACATGCACCCCTGACAGCCAGCATTCCCAGGCAGGGGGGGTAGGCGAGAGCACAGCATTCCCTCAGAGCGCCAGCCGGGGAGTGGCGGAGCCAGGAGAAGTGATCCCTGTAGCTAATTGTGCCCACCCAGAAGTGCCAGTGGTGCTCCCAGAAATGCCAGTGGTGTGCTGCTGCCACTTCTGGGTCAGTGCGATCAGCCATTGGGGGACAGTCCCACTGGTCGGCGTGATCGGCTATCGCCCTCAGGATTACATAAAACTTATGCAAAACTTTGCCTTGTCTTTTTGGTGTATTACATTCTATTTTAAGTTAGATTAAGTTGCATTTGGTCTCATTGTGTTTTACTGGGTTGTATCTTAGCTTAGGCAAAGAGCTTTGGTTGTTCTTCGTGTGTGTGCTTGAGATTGCAAAATGCTGCGTTCAATACATGCTGGCTTCAGAAAGAGGCTTTTTGTGCCCCCCATCGATTTAAAACTCCCACCCTCCAGCGGGACAGCCTTGGGCTGGTGCCTGGCCACACTTCCTCTGCTCCAGCAGAGAGGGGTGAGAGCTGTTTGGAGGGCTTGTCTCTCCTCCCTTTTGGCAGTGGCTGGCAGGTGTGCTCTACCACCCCTCCCCTCTCTCCCCCCGGGGTTCTGGCTTAAGCCACTGCAGGCATGTGGCTGCATTTTCTGGTTCAAAAGTGAATGTCTATCCAATTGTTAATCGGTTCAATCTGCGCAGCGTAGACTAACCTACCAAGATTGAATCAATTCAGGCTTTTTGAATGTCTATTCATAGCCTAGGTGCTTAGTAATAAGTTAGGCAAGTTCTTCCTTCTGGTTGGAGTCTTGGCATCAACTTCAGTGCATCACAGGAAGTCCAAATTTCTGTACAGACTCCTTGGAAGCTAAATTTCTGGTTTTATCCAACATTGTGGGAATGTGTGGGCTCCTCTATCAGCAGAAGTGAAAACTAATATGGCACAGCTAGTTTAAAAGGAAAGAGAGCCACCTTTTGTCCCTCAGTTTAAACAAGAATATTAAAATAATTTTTCTTTCGATCTTTTCTTTAGAGATAGCCTTATAGTTCTTGACTGTTTGGTCTGTTTAACAGAACAGCCATTTCAATCCATTCAAAACCAATTCTTTGTGTAGAATTGCAGGCAGATGAGTGAAATACCCACATAAGTGGGCCATTTATGTCTATTTCAACCATTAATGTTTTCCTGCAGTAGAAAGCCTTTTTTAACACATTTTTGCCCTTGGTCATAATTTGGAACAGAAAATCTCTTACTCCTTCTTCTTAAGCCGCTGTTTATTTTTCCTATTTACTGTACCTGACTTTGCATCTAATTTGATCTCAAACTTGGCCAGACTCCTACTGAAGTTACTGGGATTGGCTTTTTTTGGTAACAAATATGGTGAATATTGACTCTGGGTAGTGAATCCTTAAAGTGTAAGTTAAATTTCTGACTGTTTAAAAGCAGTATAGAAATCCTTGTACTATATAAAATAGAATTAGTTTTCAGCAATGGCACTATAATCCATCATATATCACAACTGCAAAATTACTTTCAATAACATTTTCACGTTCCCAGTCTGCACCAACCACACATTCAGTTGATACCGGTTATTGCAGGAAGTAAGCTCAATGTACTGTGATACACATTGACCCTATGCAGCTAGTTTCCTCCATTTTAACAGATACATGGGTTAATATTCACCACCATGTAAATTTTAAGAGTCCAATTATTTTTGACTTTGCAGCCTAAAAGCACCTATCATGTGTTTCTATCAGAATGCTTTAATCTATGGCTTTTCTCCATTTAGCAACTCAAAATGAATGGACAGAGCTGTCAGAGAGAGAAAATAAGAAGTACTTGATGGGAGGTTGTGGAACATGCTGTCTATTTACTCTACTCTAGACAGTAGTGCACACATGCATGCATGTGTATGTGTGTACATCTTAGCTCCTCCTTTCCCTACCCAGAAATCAGCGTTTTGGAAGAGGGTGAACAAGTAAGAGGAACATATACACACTCCCCTACTTACCCACAAAGCATCCTCAGACAAGTAAATACAGGGTCTTCATCGAGTCCTTGTGCACTTTTAAACTTTAATAACTTAGGTTGTGCACAAGGACTCGATGAAGACCCTGGATCTCAGCTTTTTCCGTCCTATGATTCCTCCATTAAATGTGTTCTAGAGGCAGCAACAAGTAGGTGAAACTGTGACTAGATGAAGCTGTGTTGTCAGGGTATTGTAGGGCAAGAAGTCAAGAAAACCATACATTGGGTCCAAACCCTTGCTGCTTCCATGAAGGAGTGGAGGATACCTTGCTTCCCATGCGAATGATCTCATGAAAAATGTGTCATGGGAATTTAGTAATTGCTTCTGAAAAACACCTCCACGGGGAGAAGATTTTTCAAGTGGCCTCTTTAACAGACCAGAGATGTAGCAAGATGTAATGGCTGGAAGCTGAAGCTATAGCAATTTACACTGGCAAAAAAGGTACAAGTTGTTAACAGAACTAACTAACCACTGGCACCACGGACTATGGGATGTGATGGATTTTCCATCATTTAAGATTTAAATCAAGGCCCAGTCTCTTTCTAAAGATGGGAGTTATTGGATGAGCTTTTATGGCCTACGTGACACAACAGTTCACACTAGGTGATTATAATGGTCTCCTTTTTGGATTAAATCTATTCGTCTTTCTATCTTGCCCTCCCAACCTCACAGAGGAGAGGGAAAGTAGGATTTTTATGGGACTAAACTAACCTGTCCCTTAGTAAGGGCGCCTGCATGTTGTAAATAGATATGTAGAGGAGACCCTCCCAACTGTTCATACAGAAATTTTAGATCAGGTGAATTTTGTTACAAACATAAAATTCAGAAAAGTATATTGGTTTTTCAGGTCAAATGAGTTTCCCAGATACTAAATGTTAAATTTAAAATTGACCCTGAGCCTTCGTAAAGTCAGGGACAGTCAGTCTACAGGAGCGCAAAACGTGGTGGAGCCCGCTTAAGTGACTTGTTCAAGGTCCAAGAGCTGAGAACAGAATCGAAATTCCCCGACTTCCACCCCCCTACTCTGTTTACAAGTGAACTGAAAAAGTCCTAATGATTGTTCATGGAGTAACACAAATAGATGGAGATTCAGAAAGGTCTGCTCCATTTTGCAGTTTTGCCAGGGAATTCCCCCCAAGTCTAAATTAAATTTCACCTGGTTATTGGCCTGATCTCGATGGCTAGTCTCAAGTGAAGTGAGTATCTAACAAAGAAGATAGGGTTTCTAAGAGAACAGGTTCAGTTTGTCCAGTCAAGTGATATTTAAGCTTGAGTTTTCCCTGGGTTCAATGTACTAATACAAAATTACTGAATGATATCTGTTAAAAGTATTCCAAATTTGAATACAGGAAAGAGTACCTATGTTCCTGACCCCCTTTCATGTTAATATTAATAAAAGTAATAACAACTTGGTAGAAATATCAGCTTTTTTAAACACAATAAAAAAGGAACACCTGCTGAATATTTGATAACATGGGAAACACCCATATCAAAATCAAGTAATGACAAAGAGTATCTGTAGGTAATGTTTTCTCCAAGTACCCTCTGATATCATATAGCCCAGACTGTTCCTTCTGTAACTTTCATTATCACCGGTGCCGTTTCCCTTATGCTTCCATGCCAAAGTGTAATTCTTAAAATTAGGCTGATTAATTGATTGCTCTTTCAAACACAAAATAAACTTTGAGTTTTCAAAATTCATGCTATGAACTGATGACTCTGTCAGGCTCTTACATGTAAGTCGAAGTCCCCAAATTCAGCACCTATGATCACCGGCCATGTAAGTGTCATAATTTTTGCCTAAAAAAAGCATCTTTCCTAACCTCTGGTTCATTAATTATATCCTTTAACATTAGCTATATACAACTGTTAGCCACCGTGAGTGAAAAGGAACTTACTTTTATACGTTATTCTCGTTATGGTGTCTCTGTTTAGCATACGATTTAGAAAAGGATTTGATGATTCAGATACCTATAGGGGGAAAAATGTTTAATGTCAAAAACTTTTTCATGACAAACATCTCATTCCAGGAAACAAAAAAAATCTGTTTTCTGCATTGATGTAGATATGAATAGGAAGTCAGATATATGATTGCTATGCAGGAAGTTGACATTTATTTTTAACTCTTGTGGGCAGAAGTATCATCATCTAAGGTCAGATGTCTCTTAACAGAACTGATCAGAAAGTTTTCACCCAAGAAGTGAAAGCAGGAGAAAAGATTAAGAGCTGGGTGAAAGGTGAAAACAGGGTCTCACCCCCATTGTCTTAAGTGGGATTTTTAAGCTTTTGCTTGGTGTCCTTGCATGGAGTATTTTATTTTCTAGTGTTTATGGTCAGATCTATGCCTGGGTCTGTTCTGTCAGACCTCTAGTACCATAAGCATCTCTTCTCTCCCTGTTGTATCTATTTCTATTCTATTTTTTATTTATTCAGAAGTACTTAGCCACAGCAGCAGTAGTATTTAATATAGAAAATAAATGTTAACAGCAATATTATTAAAATACATTTTACGAGTGAGATTTCCAACAGCTGTAAATTAGTGTTAGGCATTTTGCCTCTGCTTTGCATGTAAATGACTTACCTTTCAGAAATAAATTGGTGTCACTTTGTACCCCCCGGCATTTGGGCATAAGAGGGAAGGACAAGGGTCCAATACAAGACTTAGAGGCAGCAGTTACTACAGGGGGCTGTATACAGGTAATTACATGGATCAGCAATTCATTTTTACTGTTTAGCCAGGGCGATGTTATTGCACTGCAAGTAGCAGAGCAATTATTGATAAGTAACTAAGCTATCAGATGTTGTCACTTAGACCCTGCCCTCTAATGACCTATTGATGCAACTTGCTTGTGTAGCTTAGCTTTCTAGGTAACCTAATCATTTTTAACTCCTGTCCAGGTTGGTCTGACTCATAGTATCTTTTTTTAGCATCGGGTTGGATGCTGTGGTGACACATGCAGCTTTTGGAACTGGTTTGAGAGGCTGGAAAGATTGTAAGATGCAATATATAACTTGGAAAAATAGATGGAGATAGTCGTGAGCCAGAACCCCTGTTTCACATAACCCCCCCCCCCCAAGCTCTGGGAAAGGTTCAGTTTTGGATCCTTCCCTTCAGAAAGGAAGTCTCTGATATCCTAATAATTCCCAAAATTATTTTCTCTCCTCCTGCTGGACCAAGCAAGGGACTCTGCTCCCAGAATAAGCAGCATTAGGAGACGGCCGATCCATGACTGAATGACTAGTGTTTGGCACAGGATTTGGTGCCTTTTGAGGTGGGCGCGGTGGTTTTATTCAGTGAAAAAGTTTTACCTTAACCTTTTAAACGTTCAGAGATGTTTGGTAGTAGATGCCATGTTCCATACATGATTATTTTGAGACACGATTTTAACTTTGGCAATCTAAGCAACGTGTTTCCACTATATACTGGAGATTATGTGATGGGAAATATTTGAACCAGTGCTACACAGTTATTTGCACAGTTTTGAAATTTTGGGCTGTGTGTAACTGCTTCAATCCCATCCCTTCGCAAGATCTTCAACTAACTCATTGGGATCATAGCACAGTATACAGGGGATGAAAGCAGTGGTCTGAAGATCTTTGTAATAAATGCCTCAATAAAGCTGTACAAAGGTAATTGAAACACCCAACTTGCCAGGATGGCTGTTGAAAAGGATATTGGGTCCTGAGGTTGGCGGCTGGTGAGTTGATTCTTACAAATCTAGTTTGAAGCGTATTAAATAGTATTTTTCATAAGAAAGCACGTGATGTGCAACTCCTAGGAATGTGGGCCAGGTCCTTTGGCACTCAGAGCTTTGCTTTTCTAGCAGAAACAGATGACAGTTTTTACATGGAACAATTTTTTTCTTTGTTAATTTACTAAGGCAAGTTGGGGGGGGGAGGGGGATGTACATATATTGCCCTCGGTTCCTTAGATTGGGGATAGAAGAGGAATCTAAGAAGGTGTGAATAAACTGCAAGTTCAGAGTCTAACACTAGGACCCCTCTACACATTGTAGGTATTGCACAATTAACTGGTTAATCATGCAGTTACTTTGAGACCAGCTACAGGTTCAAAGTAGCTATCATATGATAAAAAGCCCCAACCAGCTATAAAATAACTTTATAGCTGGTTGCTATTGAGCTTTAACATGCACAGGGTGCCCCTGTGTCTCGAAGCCTGCAAGCTGGCAGGGATCCCAGCCACAGGGGAGCCGTGGAGTCCCGAGGATCGCAGTTGCAATGATCCCCAAGGCTTGGGGGTGCGTGAAACCCCTGGGTCCACATGGGGCTCTTGGTCCCAGCTGTGTCCCATGCACAGCCAGGAGTGAGAGTCCTGCGAGTCACAGGGCACTGGGTCCCAGCTGTGAGGCTTTGCGTGCAGCCGTGACCCAGAGCCCCGTGAGCTGGGACTCTTGGTCCCAACTGCAGGCGAGGCATATCCAGGACCCAGAGCCCATGAACGGTGGGGAGTCTGTGTCCCGGTTGTGCCTGAGCTGAGACCAGGAACCTGCGGGGCTCTGTCCTGACTGAGCACAGCCCCCATGGCCAGGAGCCTCCTCAGCAACAAGGGCTCCCAGCCGTAGGCGCCTGCTTCTTGCAAGTGGAGTGGGGAGCCCAGGATCAGCTCCTTGCTACACTGGCAATAAGGCGCAATTGGATCTAATGCACAATCCCACACTTGCGCCTCCTGCCATGCATGCGTGGTGTGGCAGAAGGCACAATTGTGTGCATCATGCATCAGATCCAATCGCGCCTTATCCTGCACATGTAGAGGGGGCCTAGATGTGGGTGAATATAAAGTGTCTTTCTGATTCTGAGGAGTACAAAGGCAAAAACATGGGAAATAAAAATATGTTTTTCCAACAGTGTGAAACCCAAAAGGTAAAAGACCATTAGATTTGCAGCATTCTTTCAGGTTTGATATCTGAAATGACACTGGTAGAGAAAATCATTTGTTGATTTTTAAATGTAACAGCATGCCTCTAATGTGCAACACACTCTCCCCCTCCCTCCCCCATCCCTTGCCCTACTAGAAAAGGTTTAATTGTAATTAAATGCTTGCTCTTGCATCTCAGCAGCCAGAGAAACTGCAAATCTGCAGAATAATAACTTTTCTGTCATAGCTATAAATTGCTCTGACTGCTGCTTAATGATATCAGACGTGATTGTTTCACTCTCGCTTATCCTCCCCTCGCCTCTCCTTCCCCAGCCGCCTGCTGTCTTCTCCATTAGGCTGCAAGCACCTTGGAGCAGGGCTTGTGTTTCTATCACGTTTATTCTACTACCAGCATCGGAGGCGGGGGTCCTCCCTAGGCACAACCATCACGCAGTCAGTAAGGACTAGTTCTATGTCTGAAATCCTATTAGTGGGGAAAATCCCGATTTTGGTAGTGCACACATTAGGTAATTATGAATGTGAAATACTTACTTTCATGAATATAGAAACTACCACCAAGCCATTTGGACTCTTTGCAGCCTCTGTGACATTTGTATACAACTCATGGTTATAGTGGATTAGTTGAACCTAAAAGATGGGGAGGGGGAAAAATGATGATTAAACAGTATCACATTGTGCGTTATTTAAATATACAAATGCTCCCATTGATATAGATGCTTCCTTGTTTGTATTAGGAACCCCACCATGCTAATAAAATTTGTAACTGCAGGTTCTTGGAGGTTTGTGTAACATGCATGATTTTAATAATCTCAGTGACCATCTGGCTCAAATTGGCACAGCATCATAGTATCATCTTCTAAACTGTCAGTAAGTGAATTTTCACATATTAAGAAACGAACTGCACTGCAGGGGCTGGCAACATTTCCCTGCTGCAACAATATTTGTGCCACAGGCATCGCATAAAATGTGCTCTTCGGCTTCGAGTCAAACTTGGAAGGGGGCTGGAGCTGAAATACTGTAGTTAACTAACATATGGGATAGAGAGCAGGAGACGTTGAAGCCAAACATTTCCAGATTCAACATACTAGTGTCTGCTGGCCAAAATTTTCCAAATTGGGTCCCCTGAGTTAGGTACTGATTGTGACACAGCTACCTTTGTTCTCCCTTCTTCCTCCATCACCTCTCTGCTGGCTAATGGCATGAGTTTATTGCATTTCATCTAAGTTTGGAATTTACATTTTTGGCAACCGAGTCTTAGGAGCAGGGATTTTTCTGTCTTGCAACATATTTTTCAATTGCCCAGCAGAATGGGTCTGAAATGTAATCGGGGTCACTGAGCAATATTATAATATAAATCAACAGCCTGGTTTTTCAGAGCTGAGGAACAATTGGTGCTCAGGATGAAGTCTGTGGGAGCTGTGAGCATTTAACATTCCTGACAATCAGATGACGTATTTCGATGTCTAACTTCAGGCAACTGTGACCGGAAAATAAGGGCCATCGCTCCAGCAGTTTTGAAACAACAGCAGCTTGACTTCTGAATTGAAACCAGAGATCTATTTCCTGAACCTCAAAGAGCCACATCATGATTTAAATTTAACTTAAAGGAGGAAAAAAAAATCCAGTGGTAATTACTGAGAAGAAGGGAAAGAAAATAAAGTCTAAAAATAAGTCATTTTTATATCTTTGACTGAACTTCCTGGGATTCACTGTTCACTAATTGGTGTGATGTATTGAGACAGGTACTGAGCATTATATAATAATGTACTAATAATGGATCTTTTTAAAAAAAGGTCAGATCCTATTAAGGGTGAAATCTTCATCCCTTTTGCAAAGCCAGAGAAAATGGCATTAGCGACTGGGGAAATGAACCTCTTCCCCAAGATCAAGTTGGAAAATTAGACAGGCACTTCTATAGCTTGAGGACAACACTAATGGCTACCACTGGTTTGGTGTGGGAGCTTTGAATACAATAAAACGGCAATGAAAATGGTTCAGGGGCTGGGGCACATGACTTACGAGGAGAGGCTGAGGGAACTGGGATTATTTAGTCTGGAGAAGAGAAGACCAAGGGGGGATTTGATAGCAGCCTTTAACTTCCTGAAGGATGGTTACAAAGAGGATGAAGTTGGACTGTTGTCAATGCACTGCACCAAAAAAAAAGCCACGTTCAAATTTTTGGGCGGTTTATATTAACGCCCGTGTCGTCTACACGCACCGAGTAGTGGCAGGTGACAGAACAAGGAGCAATGATCTCAAGTTGCAGCAAGGGAGGTTTAGGTTGGATATTAGAAAAAAATGTCTCACTAGGAGGGTGGTGAAGCACTGGAACAGGTTACCCAGAGAGGTGCTGGACTCTCTATCCTTGGGGGTTTTTAAGGCCTGGCTTGACAAAAGCCCTGACTGGTATGATCTAGTTGGGGATGGTCTTGCTTTAAGACCTCCTGAGGTCCCTTCCAACCCTAATTTTCTGTGACTCTAACTTGAGCTGGTGGATTCCTGCAGCTGTAGGCAGGTGGAAAATGCCTGATCTAAGGATTTACATTTTAGTGTCAGAATGATAGCATCCAAATACTTGGCCCTAACACCAGCATAGGCATTATGCAGTATCCCTTAACAAGGGGGGTTTGACTTCTACTGGTAAGCTACTCTGACTTCTACTCCATTACAGTAGTGTAAATCTGGATTTACTCTACTGAAGCCAGTGGGATTATTCTGGTTTCATACCAGTGCTAATGACATCCCACATAATGTTGGCTGAATTCAAATCTGAATTTTGAACCTAAAGTAACTTTGAAAAGTATTTCTTTTTACATTAAAAAATCCTTGACTGCATGAAGAACGTATTCCATTTGGTTTAAAATGTCAGCACAGTATCAGTTTCCTCTCCTGATGATTCTCTTGAACCCTACAAAGAGCTCATATCTACCACAGACAGCAAAGAAGTTGCTCCACAGCAGGTTCCTTGCCCACCCGACTCATAAAATGATCACAGGCAGGAAAAAAGAAAAATCTCATTAAAATAGGGTCCGGTCTCTTCCTACAATGGACAGAAATTTTGGACCCTGTAGGACAAGGAGGATACACAGTAGCAAGGATTGCTGCAATAAGAGTTACCTGTTTCTATTATGTGGTGTGTGTATTAAAAATAATACAAGTAAAGTGTTTTTTGCCACCCAGACACATATGTCCATCAACACATATTCCAGCAGCAATCAGGGTCGGAATCCATTTCCAAATCAAGCATAACCTTATCCCACTGCTACCTCATCAGTCACAAACTGAGGAATAAATTATTCATATAAATATTGGGAAGTATTCAGGTATTTCTGTTTCCTAAATGCTCCTATGATTGCAAAATGTATCCTGTTATGTGCAAATCACTCAGGAGCTGATCTTTCTGTCATTCTTTGAATCAAATATCCCTCCCCCACAACGATCCATAAAGATATGGTCAGTAAGGATACACAGTTGTTCGTACATTAGGATGATCAGCACAGTATAAACTTGGAGGGGGGGAACAAGTGGAATTTGGCTGTAGTAGCTTCAGCAGTTTTGAAATCCTCAGTTTTAACATTAAAATCTCGCACGTAATTTAAGAGATCTTAATGCACGGGTCAAAATGGCTGACAGAATGTGCTAATTTCTGTTATTTTTCTCCTCTGCTGGATTGTGACCTTTTTACATTGGCACAGTAGGTATTTTTTTAAAAACAAGGGAACAAAACAAATCAAAATGAAGAGGTAAAAATGTCAAACTGGGCAATGAAGTCATCTACTGAGCTTTTGACAGTCAGCAAGGTTGAGGGAAACATTATCCATCCTATTGTAGTTATGTTTTCTAAAGGTCTTGTGAAGAATTAATGAGAGTTTTCACTAAACAGAACCAGAGGTTACAGACTCATTAGTCATCAGTTGTGATGTTACTGAACTTTCATAGCATCTTAGTCCTTGGGACTGTGCCTTTGCTGACATTTTTAAACTCGGTAGCATTTTTATTTGCTAGCATTCACTCCAGCTGACAGAGTCAGCCAATGAATTCTTGAGTAAATAGGTCACGCAGACTTCTTTAGATAGAAGTTTCTTCTGTACTAAGTATTTGAGTGACCTAGGTCATCTTTTATTGACCTAACAAACCAAATTGCAAATGCAAGATTGGCCAGAATGAATAAGCTGAAGACAGAATTTAAGGGATCAAGACTGAATGAAAGGAACTCCTGGCGCTAGCATTGTCGCTGCAATCATCTACACCAAATGGCTAGCTGCAATTGCAAGCAATCCGTGGAGTTCTTGGATGAGTCAACAGGCTTGAACTAATGAGACACTGGTTGTCTATTTAATTTATCTGCCGTTCTCTACTGAATCTTTTCTTCCTGCAATACACTCTGGGAACATCTACATGTGCTATTAATTCAAAGTAGGCTTACTGTGCAGTATTTTACTGTCTTTATTTTGCTGTAATATTTGACCGTGCAGTAAGCTGACCCAGGAACATGTCTACACGTGCTCCCTCTTGGGAGCAAATTTGCTTCCAATGGGAGCAACCCAGTACAGTGCTGCTCATGCCCTGCTCTGCCCCCTTCCCTTGGTGCTAGCCCAGGGGCTGGAAAGGGGCACAGGGCTGGTTGCAGTCCCAGTGGACACAGGGCCAGGAGAGCCTGGATTTCCTGGCTCCATCCACATTGGGAAGGGACCTGATGTGCACAGGGCCAGGAGAGAGCCGCCCCTTTGCTTGTCTCCCGGAGCAGCTCCATGCTTTGCAGAGCTTGTGGCCCCGGGGAGTGAGCTGGATGACTCCCAGCCCCTGCTAGTTTCCCAGAGTAGGTAGTAGCTAACTGTGCAGTAGACTAATTTACTGCACAGTAAATGTGAGCATGTGCAGATGGTGATACAGTAAACTGTCTTGTGTAGTCGCACCCTCTGATCCTCGGGAATATCTGTAACTGCTTGCTAGAGAACTCCACCATTTGACAGCAGTGTTCCTAATGCCCTTTTCTGTAGTCTCGCACACAGGCAGACTTGCCCTCCTTTCCGGTTGTTCAAATTGCTTGTGTTTTTGTGAGAGACTATATACATATATTTAACACACACACACAAGCTTCCAAACTTGCTAAAAGTCAGAGTGGTTTAAACCACTGCTTTAATAAAACAGAGGTTGATGAATAATATCTATACTGTGAATACTGCCAACCAAAAATATGCTCCTTTTTTTTCTGTAACTGAATGCCTAACATTAAAACATTTTGAGCAGCTCTACTAGGAAGGGGTTTTGATGATCCACCTTTCCAAGACAATAAAATAATGACAAAGGCTATGGTGGGAACAATTAATCGTGACTATCATTGAGAAACATGATTAGTTGCTCAACAAGTAAAATAAATATTGAATAAAAACCATTAAAATATTCAGGTACCATTTATTTTCCACAAACAACAACTCTGTGTGTCAAAACACAAACTATACCAATCACCTGACAATTAACAAGCCAAGTTAGATGAATTTGACTCAAGAAGCAGCACTGTGTATGTCAATTAACATTTTGTAAACCATTCATTTTGCTCCCTTTATTCACCAAGCATTCTTTAACACACAGAATCCATTTAAATGAGCAGTCTCTGAATACTCTTC